TTCTAATCAGTTCAGATGTTCAGATACTGAGTTCCACTCTGGAATAATCTCTGAAAAAACGTTTACAAAGAAACAGTAAGAGGTCCAATGCAGCGTATAGCGCTTGATTCTGAAAGGTTTCCTGATTCAGCTGCAGATCCGAGGCTGTTGTGTACCATTTTCTCTTCCGTTTGAGTGGTAAGCGGAACCCCTTCGATCAATGGTGGTCATATAAGTGTTGTATGGCACGCCAAATGTCACAGCATTTTCACAATTTAGTCAAACAAGGGAACCGCCTAGCAGAGTTGGACTAAAGCAGAATTTACAATGTTTATCAAATCAACAGAGGGGGGGGGGGAAAAATTCGTTTGTCCACCGCGCGCCATTACCCAAAGTTTTCTTCGCGCGAGTGCCCGTTGTGTTATTTTCTTTGAGGCAAAATTTCCTTAAATGTACCCCACTAGTAGAAAGAGACACTACTTCACTGCCCTCGCCATCTTCAGATTATGGCGTCATCTGCCATCAGCTTTGAGCTCAAGGAGGCTTACCGTAATCACTCCTGCTGAACCTGCTCTATGACGTTGGAAATCAGTAGAGTTAATGGACAGTTACCTAGAGATAGTGGCTCTGGCTATGCGAGATTCTTGCGCCAGCGTTTCTCAGTACGTCGATGGCCACGATGCCTTCAGTCTCGATCGTGTTTGAACGACCGGCTTCATGGAATCTCCTAATGCGGCATGCCTGTGGTAGGAGACTAGCTATTCATGTTCTGCTGATAGAGTGGATGCTGCTCTTTCCAGTTAGTCGATGTGCATTTGGTCTGAATTCGCCCAAAAGGTGTAACTTGATGTCAAAATATGACAGTGAGGGTTGTTATTCTTCATTCGCCCCTTCTCTAATTCGCCACAAGCGCATCGGTCGAAAATTAAAAAAAGAAAATGTTCGAAAGTACGGTAGGTCAGATTGTAATGATTTTCTGATCAATTCAATTTGATTTTCTGCTCAATTCATTTTGTCATGAGAAACATGATTGACCGGAAGTGGTAGGAGGTCTCGAAATCTGGACGATAATCACATCAAGACGGAATGAGGAGTATTGCCGGGCAAGGTGACGAAGTTATTTGTCCCGATTTCAACCCCTCGATATTAGGGACGATGGGAAGTGGTAAAAAATTTGGCGACGACACAAAATATTTTCTCCAAAAAGCTGATGACAGCTAGGAGAAATGGAGCTGTGGCGCCTCATGGCAGGGTCAACCTATCGTTGTTCACCCTGTTTCGAACAAATTTTTAAAAATTTTCCCACAATTCCCTAAATTTTCAACCAATTTACCCTATTTCTACCTATAATCTCACTGTTTCCTTTTCTAGGGGGGTATATACACCGGCTGAAACGGCAAATTTTTATCTTGCGCGCCCTCTACTCGCACAACCTACTACCCACGAAATCTTAGTTTCTCCTCAATCCCACCCCTGATTTCGAGCAACTAAAGTGAGTACGACCCCCCCTCCTACAAACTCAACCAGGTACGACCCCCCCGTTGTTACTCGTAACAACGTAGGGTTGACCCCCTCGCTCCATGGATATTCAGCTAATTGTGACAATACACGTGTTCAGAACAAATACTTACTCGATCTCACAATAGTGGGACAGATCCACTTCAAGTGACTGTTGCGTAACAACGTTCAGGGGTACGGTGCAGTAGCAATAGAGACCTCTACCAAGCATATGGGGCGATGATCGAATTCCTGATCAGAATCCAGCCCAGGCCATCCACACAACGCTCTACAACTGCTTGCTCGCTCCTGGAAGAGCTATGCAAAACTCGCTCTATGCGAAACACATGAGTGGCCTACTTTGAAAAATGCGAAGATTAAGGTTCTCACGTAAGCGATTCTGGATTGTGAAGGCAAACTATCACGCCCCAAAACTGGGAACTCGAAACCGCACTCCCTAACCGGGCAAGTGCGCTACAAGTGGTGCTACCGGGGACCATTTTATCCCAACTCAGCTTCCCACGGTACTTACCACAGCTTGCCAGCACTCACACGTATAATGTGGTTCAGCCGGTTAGCCGATGTCGCCAACGACCGCGAGGCTGCAATCTTTAACAATGGGTTATTGCGGCAAAACAACTGAGTAAGGTAATAGCTGTACCCAAATACGGTCCTATCGGGCAACGTCTGCTTTGGAATGTGACACACTTCGAAATTATCATTATTGCAAGCAGATGCAGAACGGTTTGGACAATTTAGATGAGACTGTTCGATTGTGAAAATATTGCTCTTTTTATTCATAAAGACGCGCCGAGGAGATGGCGCAACTGTTGTGAGATTCGGTTCACTTACCTGAGAAGTGTTTTTAAATTCCCTTCTCATGAAATTTTGAATTGAGACATAGGTAAATTGAGAGAGCCTGGAATGCCGGTTACAAATATGAAAAGCAAATCTGCTGAGCGAACTTGCCGTGGAAAATGAGAGTGGTCAAAATTGGCTGTTAGTACAGCATTTTTAGATGTTCGGCAGTATTCCAAGGAATTCTGATGGCTGTGATGGCGAAGATGATGCTCTTGGAGAAGGCGCTAATTGGAATCAATCTGGATGCGCCAAGGTAGAATACAAAATTTCATTAGCACATGGGATCGCATTTGGGATCAGTTTGATCGCTAACAACTTCCTTGCCAGGCTCACGCAGCAGTTTTGGTCTTCATTTTGTAAGCGTCAGCCAAGGCCCTATCGATTTACCTGGGCCCAATTCAAAGTTTCATGAGAACTTGGAACACCTCTCTGGGTATGTGGAATTTGGTGATAATCTGCTGTTATTATATCCTACTATATATAATTCGCTAAGTATGTCTGTCTGTGTGGGTGTGTGTGTCTGTCTGTACGTACGTCCGTCTGTCACGAAATTCATAGCGCGCTTCGCTGCAGGCATGGAACGCTGTATTTTGAGTATGGTGTAGGGGGTGGACGGCAACATATTTGGTGGGGTTTATAAAGTGATACCGACTGATAAGATCTGATAAGAGGCGCCAAAACGCCAATTTCATGATATTCATAGCGCGTGTCCCAGCAGTGGTGGGGCGTTGGTTCCAAGAAGTGATGTACAGGGTGGGACGGGAACATATTTGGTGGGGTACAGAAAGTGATAACGGCTGATAAGATTGATAAGAGGCGCTGAAACGCAAATTTCACGAAATTCATAGCGCGCGTCCCAGCAGCAGTGGGGCGTTGGTTCCAAGAAGTGATGTACAGGGTGGGACGGGAACATATTTGGTGGGGTAAAGTGATAACGACTGATAAGATCTGATAAGAGGCGCTGAAACGCAAATTTCACGAAATTCATAGCGCGCGTCCCAGCAGCAGTGGGGCGTTGGTTCCAAGAAGTGATGTACAGGGTGGGACGGGAACATGTTCGGTGGGGTACAGGAAGTGATAAGGGCCGATAAGGGCCGATAATTGCGATATTCGTAGGAACATAGAGACCATTTAAAACCATATTCTAGATAACGCATTTCACTTCAATATCATCTCATTGCGTTGTTGTCATCAACATAAAATACCGTTCGACCGCTACAATCCCAAAGTCCCTAAGAATGTATGATGGATGTTTAGCGATATACGATAATGGGTATTTCTATTGCAAAATCATTGGCATCAATATTATTCGACCGCTAAATCATCCTGACATCCAATGCATGGTGGCTGTTTACAGACACCACTTTAGCTCCGCACTCCACCGCGCGTATCAGACGGTTGGTTAAAAATGGGCATTCTGTAGAAGGCCAGCTAACGCATTTCACGAAGCAAGTTATTGTTTAGCGGCGGAACCTAACGCTCCGCCGGCTGGCCAGCTTTACGGAGCCCTTCCGTGTCATGCACGCGGTAGTGTGCGGAGCTAAACTGGTAATTGAATAATTCATTTGTGATTGCTTTGTGAAACACGTGCGCCGCCTTTGGGTAGAATTCCATTCCAACAGTTGTCTTGTACAGAGGTGAAAGATTCATAAGAACTGTGATAAAATGGCTTCCCACTATCCACATTGGTTATTGTATCCTGGCAAAAAATCAATCAAAAATCTATCTACTAATATTTACCTTACCTTCGATTGCTAGTGAAAGAGAAAGCTCAAAGCTTTGATCATACTTTTGGATGCACCACGCATCCTACTTCCATTCAAAATCGTATTCGGACGAGGTGCTTTCGATGCAATTACTTGCTGGGGTCAACCGACGTATAAGTCAATTTTTTACCTTACCAGACAATTCTGGGTAATTTATTCAAAGAGGAGAAGGAAAGCTCAGATTGGCCTGATATGAAAACGCCGCCATTGTACGCCAGGCGTGTGATGTCTTCTTGACTTTACAACCTGCCTTTTTAAACCTAAAAAACTGCATTGTTGGTGGAGTTTCGCTCTAGCAAAGTTTCTGGGGCTATAGCAGACACCACTTCGAACCCCTGAAGGCGATTGCAACCGCATTCTCGTTTTCCAGGTAGTTGTGCTATTAGGAGCGAGCACCCCTCCACTCCCATTAAGTTCACCTCAAATTGAACAAATCAGGCAGCAATTGTACAGATATCTGGTTTTTACGAATCCGTTCGAGTATGCCCCGAGGGACGGTCGCTAATTTCGCTGAGACACAATCTTCCTGGTGAAGATAGCGGGAACGAACTACTTTTTATTGAGAAGCTAAGAACAAATTCAAACAAATTGTTTATCAATCTTAATGTCCAAGGCGGAAGTGGTGTATTGTCAAGTGGGGCTGTTTTCCACATCACGGCCCGTGAATAAAACCCTGGGTCCTGCGCCGCCAGGGCCAACCAAGCCTTCCATAGCTCGGGGTTTCGTAAATTGCTACCAGACTTGTCTGAAAGGATAGATGCACTGCTACTTGTCAATAACGCATTTGAACTGCCACTCGATTCTGATGAAGTAGAAATGGCAGGGCGCATCCAAAATACGCGAAATGACTAACGCTGGATAATTCATCGCTTATTTGTCCTTCATTAAAATGAAACACTAACCACTAATAGTTTCGCCCCTCATGGCAGCTAGAAGCAACGGAGTATCCTCATCTTCATCCAGTGCATCCAGTGCGGCTCCGTACTCATAGAGTACCTGAATAGGAAAATTAAGGGATCGCTATCTGAAAGGCGTTGCGGTTTCGATGACTTCATTGAAGTCGTTGGTGGACTGGACCTCTCGGCGTGCTGGAGGTGTGGTTGGAACTGTGACGCGTGGAGAACGTTCGCATACTTTATCAGGAATTTCGCGACTCCCCTCCTTTAGGGTGGTCTCGATGCGACCGCCATCACCAACCTCAATTTTACAATTAGAATGCTCCCCCAATACGCCCAATACGCCCCTCCCCACCTCAACCACATGACCCTCGCCATCATGGCGGTTTCTGTAGTATTTGATTCGCGAGATTCCTGAGACAGTCGACACAGCAATCTCTGCCCACTTTGTTCCTCCAAAAACGGCCGTCCGGCTGGGGCCAGTGGGGGGAGGGAAGGGTAAATTTAGACGCAACGAAATCGGCAAATTTCCCACCGTCAGCGCTCGCAACAAAATCCTTCAAAAAACGATTTGAATCGCCTTGCGATTCACCTCAATTCAGTCAACGAATTACTAATCCCACTCAAGCCCTGAATGCGACCCCCTCCTCAAAACCAACAAGAAATGGGACCCCCTCGTTCAATTGTGAGAATGCACGGTTGACCGAGTTAAAACTGCCTCTCCGCGCCTTTTCTCCAATGACTTTCAACGACTTCATCAAAACCGCAACGCCTTCCAGCTATCATGACCGCTGTCTTCAAGGAAATCTAAAAAAATCGAGTTCGTTGTCTACAAGCCATTTTCCACGACAAGGTAGCTTTTGTGTGATCTTCAGTTGCTATAATTTGTTTATTTGCGTTTATTGCTCAATAACATTAGCAACTCATCATACAAATTAGCATAGGAATAAAAACAAGCGTCATCGTACCCGGCTGACTTCAATGTATCCGTTGGAGCAAACGATATGCATAGGGGTCGTCTGGCTATGATCCGGCTGATTGATGAGATCCGGGACAAATTCGCCTTCAGCCTTCCGCTTTTCACGGCACAAATCGAGGATGTACTTGAAAACAACGGATACAACAATGTAAATAAGAAGCTGGTATTTTACTGAGACCCAAACTTATTTACAAACTCAACACAAGGGCTGTGGTTTAAGGCCATACTTGCGTAATCACAAGTTCTTGTCTAAAGCAACAACCCCAGATCAAATTGGTGGGATAACAGCGGTCGACAATGAAATTGTGGATGCCGTGTTGACCGGAAAAGAAAAAAAGGGGCGTGAGGGCGAGGGCGAGGTGTCTCGTCCATTAGCTCACATAAGCTGCATTCGCTCATTTTGTAAGCCGTAGCGCCATGTCGCACACTTTCGAGCCGCGACAACGGCACAACTGTGATACTCGCGGGCTACTCTATCCTACCCACAGAATAAATTGTTCGACACGATCTCATCTGGGGTTGTTGCTTAAATTAGCCAGATATTTAGCAAGTTTTACAAGTTTGAAAAATAATACAGTGGGAGTCAGTTAGAGGTAAGGTCCGATTTACTTCTTCTTCGAGCTGTTGAAGAACGATGAGATAAGCTGTACATCGATTTACTTACCCTAAGCACCTTTATGGCGTTGAACTTGGCTCCAACGTGAATTGCGGTACGTCCTTCCTCATCGGTGACAAAGATGTCGGTGCCGCGCTCTATGAGAATCTGAAGGAAAATCAGCAACAGCCTTTCAATTACGTAGAAAAGGTTTGATAAAGCGCTCGCTTATTTCTTCCTGGGGCCGTAAGGTATGCTTCCCCGAATGGTTGCGGGGACGAAAGTCCCTTTAAATTTTTTGTTTTGAACGATACTGTTTCTTTATTTTCAATGCATGCTTACTTTAAGCTACACACATATATTAGATGTAGGCCCTTTATCAGGACAATCCCAGTTGGGACTACAGAGAAAATTTAAAGGAACTTTCGTCCCCTAACCCTTCGGGGAAGGGGTTACCCCAGGAGGCCCGTCGCGCGGCAAGAAGGCAAAGTCAGCGGACGAGTCGCGCGCGTACTATAGGGATTTCGCGTCAAGTTAAATAGAGTGTCCCACTGCACGTCCTACATCGCACACCACGCGCTGCAACTCGTCCGACTCTGCCTTCTTGCCGCGCGACGGGCCTCCTGGGGGGTACCCGGGGAAGCATATCTTACGGCCCTGGATTCAAAAAATACGAAGATACTATGTACTTGTTACCCTCGAGCTGCACACATGTGGTCCGATTCATCAGATAAATCATCCGGGTTCAGCTTTTACGCAAGGGTTATTCTCTGATTCTGATAATGCAAAACGACACGAAACGCTTTATAAGAAAGAGCGAATTTCGATGCTGTGTGAAAATTCTGAACTGCTTGACACAGAGATCACTTTAATATGGTTCTCCTCAATTCGCACCCCAATTAGTAGGATTACTGTCTATTGGAAAGCTTTTAGGTACAAATGACAGTCATTTGTTTTCATTTTTGTTTTCCTGACATACAATTCCCATCTGCTCAATTCACCGACCGTGACGGGTACAACATAAAAATTGCACCAAATGAATAGCATAGCACCTCAAAGTTAGAAATTCTGGAGTTAATATCGCTTACCTTCACCACCTCGAGAGCATTATGGCAAGCCGCTGTCAGGTACGGTGGCATACCAGAATCGTCCCTCTCTTCGATATAATCCGGCTGCAATGCAGATAAGATATTGTCAGTGGGAATAGCGGAGGTACAAACTCACAGCTATGTCGACGAGGAGCCGCGCCACATCGGCACGGTCGAACTGCGCTGCATAGTGGAGGGGGAGCTTCAAGGCGTCGTCACGGAGCCGTGGATCGTAGCCGTTCTACAATGAACATTTCAAAACAATGACAACTAGTACATAAGTATTATAGTTCTTTTCAAAATGTTTTGGTTGATACTGTTTTTAAAGGATCCTACTTACTATAAAGCGCTTCGTCTGTCGTCTGTCTGTCGTTCTGTATGTCTGTCACGAAATTCCCTAGCTCCTCGGGATCCGCCTGGAGGGACCGGGTCAAGTGTGGGATGGGTGGGCAAGGTCTCACGAAGTACAAAACACACATCAGCTAAGCGGAGCCCCGCCCACAGAGGGCGTGGCGTGCGTCGAAATGAACTGTACCGAAGACCAAGATTTCGATTTCAGTGACAAAACAACCTCGAAACTGGGCCAAAAAGTGGGTAAAGGTGTGCATTGGTAAGTCACATCGAATTAGGGAGACCCACCCCCGGTGGGCGGGGCGTTCTCCAAAAAAGCAGTGCTTTATGAAAAATTTCATAACTCGGTTGAGAGAAAATTCCTACAGAGCAGAAAATAAATTGGTGTAGGGAGCAATGTCTAAGGTGTTCCCATACACGACGTTGGCGGAGGTCCGCCCACAATGGGCGGAGCGCGCTCTGAAGTGTACAGCGTTTTCTACAAGTCCTCATAATTCGGGCCGGAGAAGTCTTAGTGAGCCGGAAAAAGGTGGATGGAGGTGGGCGAGAAGGCCAACTGTCGTCGGTGGGCGGAGCATGACCAAAGTGGGTGGAGTTTGCGACGGAATTCGTAAATCGGTTCCAAAAGTCCTTGAGACCGGGAAAAAAGTGAATTGAGTTCGTCCACGGAAAGAGGTCAACTGCTACTGGTGGGTAGGGCGTGCACCAACGTGGGCGAGTTTGCCCTAAACTCACAATTTAGTTCCGGGAAGTCCAGGAGACCGGGAAAAGAGTGGGTAGAGTCCGACAACGCACGGGAGGACAGATGCTATTGGTGGGTAGAGCGTACACCAAAGGGGCGGAGTTTGCGACGGAAATTCATAACTCGGTTCCATCAAGTCCCGGAGACCGGGAAAGAGGTGGATAGAGGTGGTGAAGGACGTAACGCCACCGTTGTTTGGTGGCGGGCACTTCTAGGTGGGCGGAGTTCCCAGACTGAAAACATTGTGACTTGGTTTTGCAAAAGTCTGAAGCGGGAGAGAAGGCGGAGAAGGAGAGGAAGTGAATTCAATGGTTGCGGAGGATACCAAAAGAGCAGATATCGCCAAAATTATAATCGCGCATAGTTCAAGGACTGGAGAAGATAGTAGACTGCAAAGAAATAGGCGTAATTCACCACGAGGTTCGTAAATCGGTCCGGAGGCTGTCCGAGGGCGGGATAAGGGACAATTGGTTGGCCATTACTGACAATGGGGGAAGGAGGAAGGTCAAAAGCCATCGGTGGATAAAGCATGGGGCAACTGGTTAGAATTCAGCTTAAAAGTCAAATATTCGACGTGTATTGAACTAAATTCGAAAATTCACGCCGCACTTTCCCATATCGCGGCAGAACTGTGCTGTGCGCGCAATGCGTGCGGCGCCAAACTGGTAAGATAAAGCATTTGCCGTTGATCAATCCCTTTTTGGGATGCGGCACGCATTCTACTTCCATTTGTACATTCGTAGTGGCGTTTGAATGCGATGTGGCCTATACAATGACTTGCGGGGGCCAGCCGATGTACAAGTCAGTGTTTATCCTCCCAGACAAGTCTGGTACCAATTAACCGACCCCGGAGGGATGGAAGGCTTGGTTGGCCCGGGCGACTCACGACCCAGGATTTGATCCCCGGACCGCTCGCGTGGTAAGCGTGCCACTTGCCACTACACCACTTCCGCCCCATATCTTTTCTGCTTTCTTTAAATGTGAAGAGAACTTAATCACTTTATCAAGAGCAGGAAGGTGATGACACCGCTGTTGTCTGCAAGGAAATTTGTCAAGTCACGTCGTCACACATCATGGCTTCAAGAGATCAAAGCCCAGATATATTCAGTGCTGCGCCCGCGCCTGTAGACCGCTAGTCGTCTTCATCCCGCCGAATGCCTATCTCTGCCGGTTCCTAGCTCTCTCTGGGCCATATCGGAGGCTGATTTCAAATGTCGACCGATGATGCCGTTGTTGAACCAACTATCAGCCAAGTCATTAAATAAATGGCTCAGTTGCTCCACCAGTGGTTAGTCCAGTTTATACGGCCTTTCGGCTCATTACATAAGTGAGTGTTCAAGTTAAGCAAGAGAATGGGTAGAAGCTGAAGCCCACCTGGATGAGACGCTCAACAACTTCAACGTATCCCTTTGCCGCAGCCTCGTGAAGCAGATAAGTGTCCTTTCTATAATGAAATGAAAATCAAGGTACGGTAATACGCTCTTTGTGAATACCACAAGTAATATATAGCTGTAAACTTCTTTTGTACAATACAAATCGTGCTAGTACAAAGGTTGAAAATTTCTGGCAGGGTGAGCCGCGATAAGGATTCCTCATGTATTAGAGGAGGAGGAGCGGTGTTGTGTGTGTGTGTGTGTGTGTGTGTGTGTGTGTGTGTGTGTGTGTGTGTGTGTGTGTGTGTGTGTGTGTGTGTGTGTGTGTGTGTGTGTGTGTGTGTGTGTGTGTGTGTGTGTGTGTGTGTGTGTGTGTGTGTGTGGTGGTGTGTGTATCGTGTGATTTTGCGTCTTGATTTGTTCTACTTCACATTTCCGCTCGATCCCACTGTTTGCGAGTGCCATAGGCATGACCCAAATAGGCTGTGATACGTGCTGGAAGTGGATGCAGTTTTTATGACTCTATTGTGGATTAGACTCCTCGCGACTAGACTAGTGACAGGACTCCCTTCCAGGGCCTGTCCACTAGTGACAGTTCAATTGCCGTAAATCAAAATCCAACGCCCTCCCAGCCGTCGTGATGCTGGCTTTAACCGGGACGACAAGATAGAAATTTGAAGGCAAGACCTCGGTGATGAAACCGTTGATATAAAAGCGTTTGTAATATGACTGCAACTGCGGGACAGTCTGATGTGGTGACAGAAACACTAGAAATCTTAGATCGCAAAATCCAGGCCCCACAAAGGTCGATATGGAACGATGGCGAGGCAGGCGGTCAAAGAAGACAAAACACGCGAGAGATCACGCCGTTCAAGAGAGCACGCCGATATCGAGGTGGGTGGGAAGCGTTGCAACGGGGTCGATGGTTGCAGGCCCGTAAGGATTTACGCGCCTTAACCCGCAAACTTTTGCGGCGAAGCTGGAGTGATCTAGGTAGGTAGGGACCTTACCATTTCCCTCGCAGTATCCTTTTCACGAGTCCCGCTAATCCCAGGGTTTGCTTTTACGGTGTGTGTCCAGTAGTACAGTTTCAAAGCGAACCTACTGACACCACCTCAAGCTATCAGGAAAGTGGCGTGAGGGTTCCTAGAGGTCCTAAGACGCGAGTCGGAAGTTCATTGGGTGGATCAGGTCAAAGCAAATTTCCCGCGATATGTTGCTCATCCTCATCCTCTTAAAAGTAGGTGCAGCTAGCACTCACTCATCAAATATTATGATCCCTTCACAGGCTTCAGCTGAAGTATCGTGGACACGGTGTCCGGATGATTTCCATCGACGGCCATCCTGAGAGGAGTTTTCCCTTCATTATTGCTCATCCATAGCATCCTCTGACCAGCTTCTCGCTCCTGAAATCTTCTGAGGGAGAATTCTCCCACAGCTATTTTTATATGTTAGTGAAGCTGGAGACTATGGGCTTATCGACGCTTTTTGACATGGTGCTTGTCCATCGAATTTGCTGCATTGTTGTCGCCATTACCTCTAATACGTGGCAAGCTCATTGGAGGTAACACTAAGACACAGGTGCGGTCGTTACAGCTACGAATTTGCTCATTTTTGCCCCATTACATCAATACGGCGCAAGCTCTTTGGAGGCTTAACACTAGCACTACACTACCATGGATGATACCATTCATCCCCACAAGCCTCAAGAGGGAAAGAAGTCTCATCAAGAAGATCCCGCAACAAACTGTGTTGATGTTTGCGCTAAACATATTTACGTGAAGTAGTGGTAAAATCCATTGCGGGAACGGTTTTCTGCGCATCATTGCCTCTAAACTACCAGTTCCCTTCAAGCATTCATATGATGTGTTTTCTAAAATTCCTAAGGAGTTCTTAGGATCAATGCATTTGAAAGCAAAGTCCTACTCAACCTCCAGAACTTTCCAAGAGAAAAAATATAACGCATGGAAAATCGTTTTGGCCAACACTTCTGACTGTGACTGTGTGTGCGTGGGACTGGCTGGCTGGTAACGAATCTGTAGTCATGCTTCCCTTGGATATAAGTCTCGATCAGGTCCTCTCGGCTGCGGTACCCATTAGCCCGTGGACCCCACTTCCTCCGCATCCGGAAATTATGCAAAATGCGACAAATCGGTCACCGTTTCTCGTGCTGCACTTGTTCCTAGTTGTGAAAAGAGAACGACTCAGTTCTTTCCTAAAACTCCGCCAGAGATGTCTTGAGGGGTACCCTGTCCTGAGTAGTCAAATTATTAATGCCACCTAGGTGCCACCCCTGCTTCAGAGGTGCTACTTGAGATGTATTCCCAGTTTCCGTGCCGTAAGAGGTTGTTCGGTGGAGCTTTTAATCCAAATGGCCTAACGTTTCGAGTGAATCGTCGCCTTCAGAGGCCTGACATGTTTCAAGCCTCAGATTCACGCTCTACCCCACCGAGCACCTTGTTAACTTTGGCAGTTCCGGGAAAAAAAACCTGGCCGTCTACACTTTTAGTGGGGCCGCCTTCTGCCAGCACTCCTGCCATTTGTGTATCTGCCCTGAGTTCCTATCTGCTATCCGCTTCGAGCGA